GTTGTTGTTATGATTACATACAGTTATTTAAGTAATTGTTCCTAATAACAAGTATCGAAAAAAATCTAAAGAAACTCCATAATAGCAAATACTGAAAAAATGAATCTCTAATAATAAATATTGAAAAAAAAATTGACCAATAATAAAAGTAGTGAAAAATTAGACTTATAATAAAAGTTCTGAAGGCGTTGGAAGTTCCGAGAGTTATGTTTGACTGGATCAGATCTTGTATCAACTCTCCAAAATTTTTTGTGGCTTTGAATGGGGTTTTTTTGGTTTTTTCGAGGGTGCGCAGGGAGTCAGACAAGCAGGTCCCATGTCTCCTTATCTGTTCATTTTAGACATGAATGTACTATCCAAGTTTCTCGATGTTGCTGCTGGTCATGGTATTTTTAGTTATTATCCCAAGTGCCGTCGAATAAAATTGACCCATCTTTGCTTTGCGGAAAACCTTCTGATTTTTTCGAAGGGCACCTATGACTCTGTGATGGGAGTGTGGACTGTTTTGGAACACTTCTATGAGTTCTCTGGCCTAAAATTCAATGCTGACAAGAGTGAAATTTATTCCACTAAGGTTGGTGAGTGAGATGCAGGCCATTGTGGAAGATACGAGCATAAGGTCTTTTTGTTTACCAGTGTGTTACTTGGGGATTCTCACTAGAAAGTTAAGGATCTCTGATTGTCAGCATGTTGTTGATAAGATTGAGGCCATACTCCAAACCTGGGCTGCTAGACATTTGTCTTATGCTGGAAGGATCCAGCTCATCCAAGCTGTTGTATTTAGCATCCAAAATTATTGGAGTCAACAATTGGTCCTCCTAAAGGCTGTTTTGCAGCGTATTAACCAGCTTTGCTCCCGTTTTTTCTGGAAAGGTTGTGATTCGGTTGCGATGGATGCCAGGGTAGGTTGGAGTTCCATTTGTTGTCTTAAGTCGGAGGGTGATCTTGGTCTCAAGTGTTTGAGGTTGTGGGATGACTTTTGTATGTTGCAGCTTATAAAGCGTATCTTGATGAAGGATGGGTCTCTTTGGGTAGCTTCGAGCGATGAATATGTTTTCAAGGGGGTTGTTTTTTTTGCAAATGGTGGCCAAAGGATCTTGTAGTTGGCTGTGGAAAAAGCTATTAAAGCTTAGAGAGTCTCTCCCTACTAGTATGTTTTCTAATCTTAACTTTGGGACTGTAAAGTTATGGGATATGATTAGAACTACGAAGGAGGTTGTGCCTTGGCATAGATTGGTGTGGTATACTTTCCATATTCCTAGGCATTCAGTGATATCTTGGACGGTTATTTTGAATAGATTACCTACGAGGGATAGGCTTGCTGCTTTTGGGATCCAGGTTGAGCGAGGATATGTGATGATGATTAGGAGTCTAGGGACCATTTTTTTCGGTTGCCTTTTTTTCTAAAAGTTTATGGTCTGGGGTCTTGAGGGCTTGCAATTTGCATAGGCAGATTATGGATTGGAATGCAGAGTTGAGTTGGGGTACTGGGATGGTTAGGGGGAGGTCGCTCCTTACTATTGTTCGTAAACTTGCCTGGAACTCTGCTGTTTATTTGATCTGGAAGGAGAGGAATGCGAGAATTTTTCAAGAAAAGCAAATGCATGAGCAGGATTTGATTGCTCGGGTTAAGGAGGTTGTTCGTTGGAGGTTGCGAGGGAAGATTGTTCGCAAGATCAACTCTGTTAATAGGGATTTGCGTATTGAATGGGGATTGGATTGATTGCTTTGATGGGTTTAATGTTGATCCTTCTACTATTAGTGTCAGGCTTAAACTTATTATGCCTTTGATGTTCAAAATCGGATATTAGTATTTCGAGTACCTGAAATATTGGGTATTCAAAATTTTTTGAGTATAAATATGTCGGTCATGTCTCGGTCCATTAAGTTCGGGTACTTTAAAACTCGAGTGTCTGTATTTTTGGATCACGAGTTACTGGTTCATATTTTTTAATTTTTTTCTTTAATTATATTGTTTTTTTAAATTACATAAAAAATTCTAAAATTCTAAAATTTAAATGTCTATAATACTAATCTACTCATAAAATTTAAAATTTAAATTATATAATTAAAAGATAGAATTTATTAAAAAATACAATTAAAATATAAAATATCTTGAAGTTAAAAGGAAAAATTTAGATTATCATGGTGAAATAATTTAAAATACTAGACCTTTAAATTAGGAATTTAAAATATTAGAATGAAATATTTTGAGAATTAAAAAATCTAATATAAAATAAAATATATATAAGAAACCGGAAATTGGGTCGCGGGTATACGGTTTAAGGATATTTTGTGACTCGAATTCGACCCGAAAATTCAGAAAAATAGCGGGCTGAATTCCCAACTCGAAAAAGCAGGTATTTTTTATTATAGATACTCGGAAAATAGCGGCGGTTCAACGAGTCAGATAGTTTGAGTTGGGTATTTTTGAACATCCGTACTTTCAGTTGACTGGTAGACTATACATGTATAGTTTTCAACTATCAAATTTGGTTTTATCAAAGGCTACGGTAAAGACAGAAGAGTATGAATTTCGTACAGAGATCCCCACATTGAATAGTTATAAAGGCGGTGTGGTGTCTCCGAGCAACATAACTGAGTTGAAACCACCGGAGCAGCGGATATCTAAACTGATATCGTGCTTGAACATGCAACTCCCACCGCCGAGTTCACAAGACATGCAGTTGGGTTCATTCCATGTCAATCCCAATCTCGTATCATAAATGCTATCCCATTCCGGAACAAAAACCTACCAATCTGCCTACAGAACCACAACAAGGACCGGTACGTATCAAGACGGTTCACCGGAATGGCCACCACAGAGAACGTTTCACCGCTAAGACACGAAATATACATTACTCCGGCGACTTGTTTCGATATTGCAGCATTTGAGCAAATTCAGAAACGCATAGCTGTCAGGGTATTGAGGCTCAAAAGGAGTACCGGAGAGGTTAAGACCACCGTTGAGAAGCCGTCTCGGGGTACAATGATCAGAATCACTGATCCATATTCTCTGATAAAACTAATCGATGTCTTCAACTAGGAATTCGCCGACGAATGGAAGACTGAGCATTGCTTTGGTTTGATCTTTGCATGAGAGGTTGAAGCGGGGATAGCCACAGCGATCGCGTTGGCTGCTGAGACGAAAAGGGAAGCGAATCCATTGACCCCCATAAGTTCCTCGGCAATTACCGACATTTGTTGATGGTTGAACCGAGAGAAAACCCATGTGGCGCTAGTGTTAAAGACATTTAAGGAAATTATGTTTTTCTTTATAAGCTTGCATGAATGTGATTACAAACAGAAACGTTAAAAGAATTCAATAGTTAATTATATATGATGTAAAGAAAATGAGACAATGGCCAAAAAGAAGAGTTCAAACAGGTCATTTTTATGCTCGATGGCAACTCGGAAGGCAAAAGAATATAGTATATTATCTTGTCTTTGTAGCTTCCTGGCAATGGTATCCATTTAAAAAATGTTTTAGAAGTGTATCAACCAAACCGTTTTAGTAGTTAAGAGATTTGTTGTTAGTTCTTGATGTCACGAGTTTAAGTACTTTGTATGCATTGGTATGAATCTTCATTGTTAAAGAGTTGAAAGAATCTTTAAACAGATGCTAACTTATATTATTCATCCTAGATTTATATAAAAAAAACTAATTGCATCATATGTCCCTAAAATTTAACCCTCATTTTAAATTGTTCCTTAAACTTTTGAATATTCCTTAAACTACTTATATTATGCATCATATGTCACGAGTTTAGGGACCAATTTAAAATGATGAGCATACTTTGAAGACATATGATATAATTAACTCAAAGATAATATTTCGGAAGTGAGGCAAAAGAGAATTTATAGTAGCAATAATAATACGGGTAAACTACTTAAAATTCAGTGAACTATATGGTAGATTTTGTTTTAATCAACAAACATAAATTTGATAATTAGGCCAATAAGTTCTAATTTGATTTTAATCAAGTCATAAACCGTTAACTATTAATAAAATTATTGTCGTGACAGTTAAATAAATTAATATAATAATATAGTATTTGTTTTTAAATACTTTCAACCATTTGACAATGAACGCTCAATCACATTTGTGCGTCGTCAGTGCTCGAACTCGAGACCTCTAGGAACAACACCGATTCATTTAACCACTGAGGTAAATTGGTTCATGTTATATATTCAATTAATTTAATCCTAAATTAAATTAATTTAGTAATTTTAATTGTAATTTTATCAATTTAGTCTACACATTATTTCTTCACTAACTCATCTTTCTCATTTTTTTTCTTCTCTCTTTTTCCCTTCCAAAAAGATTAAAACATTTTTTTCTGAACATAAATTAATCCAAAAGATTAATCCTATCATTATCGTCCTCATTGCCGCTAAAGGTATCCACATCTAAACTAAAATTCTCTTTAGATTATTACAATTTTTGTTGTATCTTTGTTACCCATATTTGGATAATGTAAATAAAAGGAAAGGAAACAATTCTTACAATATTTTAAATAAGATTTATTTTTATTTTAAGTAAATTTGGGGTGATTAAGATTTGTATGATAATTGTTTTCGTTTTATTTAGTAATTTATTTTTATTTATCTTTATAAATACGAAAATCTAACTTCTCAAGATAGTGGTGATTTCTCACATGACATAGTGGAGATGTTTCATATACTTCTCAAGATAAAGGGTCTAATTTATTGTTTATGGAGAAATATCAATGGTTGATGGTTCCAAATTTAGTTTTGATGGTAGGATGGAGAGTTGTGTTTTTCATTGCGATGATATTGACGATGAATTTCTATTTGAGGTAGATGATTGTGGGGTCCCGATGGATACGGGAGTTGCAAAGACGATCTTGATTTCCACTGTTACGGAGATAGTGGATGCAATTCCAAGGGCACATACTACTCATCTAATCATTTTTATTGTGACTATATATCGAGTCTTCGATAAAGAATCTCAAGAGATACAAGATAGTTAGATTTTATTAATTCGATGAAGACAATGTAAAAGGAGTGATTAAATGATCATTGTCATCATCTGGCATATTACGACATATAGGGCAAGCAGCATTTAACATAAGCCACTCGTCGATACAACGAGAATGAAAGTAGTGATCGCAATCGGGTATTGTTCTGATCGTCTCTTTGGCTTGATATTCCGATAAGCATATTGAACAAGTGTTATCATCAGCCCTTGGAAGCTTGAATTTTTCACCCAGCATATTCATCGGATACGACTCGATCCTTGAACAATCCAGACCATTTACAGCAACAGCCGCAGGTAATCGGGGCTCTGCATTCAAGCCGGCGATTTCGACATTTGGCCGGCTGTGATGATAATATAAAGAGACCCTAAGCTTGTAAATGGTAATACACACCCCAATCAAGATGACGGGTGTTCCCACGGCCAAAATCAATGAATATCTGATACGGTTTGAAAGACCTTGACCAAAAAAATTGTAAATTAACAAAAGTTAAGCATGAAGTTGAATAAGGGTGTAAATTAACCGAACTTGAAAGAATAAGGTTGTGTTCGTGTTCGTTTGTATATTTTTAAAAGTGTTCATATTTGATTCGTGTTTGTGTTCGTTTATCTATTTTTGAAGGTGTTCATGTTCAATTTTTTAGTGTTCGAGAACATATTCATTTTGTATTTGTTTATATATTCGTGAACATGTTCATTAGACCATGTTCAATTTAAAGTTAAAATTGGTAAAATTACGCTACTAGTGCTTAAACTTCTTGAGCTTCATAGTTTAAATTTCAAATTCATCATATGTTCAATTTAATCCCTACATTCACCAATATTTAAAATGTAAAAAATAAAAAAGCAAATGAGATTCTAAATGATCCATTAAATGAGCTTATTCATGAATATAAATGAACGAGCCAATAAATGAGCTTGTTCATGAACATGTTCATTTAATTTTCATTTATATGTTCATAATCATGTTCATTAGAACATGTTCAATTTAAAGCTAAAATTGGTAAATTACGCTACTAGTGCTTAAACTCTTTAAGTTTCATAGTTTAAACTCTAAATTTCATCATGTGTTCAATTTAATTCCTACATTCACCCATATTTAAAATTCACCCATATTTAAAATGTAAAAAAATAAAATAAAAAGTAAACAAGCTTCTGAATGAGCCATTAAATGAGCATAAACGAGCCAATAAACAAGTTTGTTTGTGAATATAAATGAATCGAACACACCTCTATTCATGTTCATTCGTTTATTAAATGAACATAATATTTTTTATTCATACTCATTTATTTAGTTTAATATGCGAACGTTATACGAATGGTTCACGAACAATTGACCGAAATCATTGTTCATTTACACCCTTAAAGTCGAACATCTAAATCGAAACATGGTTTTCATTTGAAACATACCTCTTTTCTTCACGGAGCATTCATCATCGCCATTTTCGGGCTGGCAATCACTTCCACAGTGATTACATGGTGGAAAGGGGCAATAGGGTTGTTCCCATGTCAACGCAACAGAAGTAAGATTGTGCTGGGGCAAAAATGAAGTGGGAAGGGGCACCAAAATCTTTGCTATCTGTACACACAAACTCAACCCGGAAGAAGACTGATTGTAAGCGACTGAGGGTATACCCCAAACCGAAAAGTTCTTACCACTAAGGCAATAAAAACGTATTGCCGGAAAGCCTTCCGACGCATCGGAGTCGGAGGAACAGTTGAAAAACGTGAAGTTGTCAGGGTACAGTGGCTGAAAAGGAGTATTGGAAAGATCGAGTCCCTCAAGGATACGTTCCGGCATGCAAGAGTCACTCATCTCTACATACGGAGGAGTAGACCAATAATCGATGGAGTCCACCGTGAACTCACCGGAAAGTGGAAGATTGATTATCGTTTTTGCTGGCAATTGGTCTCCGTTTATGCATGATATCGAGAGGTTGAAGTTGGGATCCCCGCAGCAGTGGGGTTGATTTGTTAGCCGGAAAGGGTAATCAACTAATACAACGTCGCATAAAACCGGGTCGCAGAGTTCATCGTCGACTGTCAAAACTGGTGGAAGAAAGGATATGCGGAGGAATACGAGGAAGAAGAACAACTTTAAAGACGCCATTTCAGGAATCATGACGGAAAGAAAACATCTAATTAACAAAAGAAAACTGAAAAGAGAAACGATATTTTGTTCCTTACGGTATGGACGTAGAATTTCATGTTCGAGAGCAAACTTATAAATTTTTAAGTATGAAAAAATTTATAAAATTTTAATAGAAAACAAAAATATATTTTCAACAACAAAAAAAAATAATAATAAATCTAAAATATAAAAAAATTAAAATTTTCAGGGATGATTATCCCACCAGCCCCTCTACTTGATCCCTTGTTCCTAAGGAGAAATCAAGGCCGGCAAACAAAGAATTCGCTTTTGAAGTTACTTGATCTGAAGAAACCTAGTCTGACAATCCAATCGAATGAGACAATTAGGAGAGGCTGATGTTTTAGATAATTTCTTTAGTTTTGTTTGACCTCTACTTTAAATTAGTCCCTAAAATTTAAAATATGTTATATCACTCACCAAACTATGATCTCATTCTAAATCAGTCTTTTAACTTTAATTCATTCTTTATAAGTCTTCAAATTATCATTATCATTCAATTTTGATCATTTCGTTGACATGTCATTAATTTTACTGGTTAAAAAATTAATTTGTTTTTAAGGTTTTGAAAATTGAACCAATGACCTAAAAATATCAGGATCTTCAAATATATTGATTTTTTAGATGGTTTCAGGTTTAATTTCATTACCTTAAAAAACGAATTAATTTTTTAACTAGTAGAGTTAACGACACGTTAACAAGACGATTAAAATAGAATGATATTGATAGTTTGAGGGTTGATATAAAATATTTTAAAATTTAGGGATTAATTTAGGAGGTCATAGTTTAGGGAGTGATATAAAACATTTTAAAATTTAAGAACTTATTAAATTTGGAGTTTTGGTTTATGGACCTTCTGTATATATAACTCGTTTGTTTATACAATCATTTTCCTAGTTAATACTACAAAAAGATAATCTTTTATAAAATTTCAAACCAAATACTAAAGAAATTAAGAATCATTAAAAAAAATTCAAACTTTTTTAATCAATAAAAGTAATTAATTGTATTGAATAAATAAAGAAAAATATAGTAAACCATAATAGTTAAAAAAATTTAAAACATTTAAATAGACAAATCACATTAACTAATCGTTTTTCCACAACTATGAAAGACAACAAACTAACCAATAAATAATGAAAATAAGATAATGAAAAGTGTTACAAAATTCAATTAAATTGTACCATCAACACTCTTATAAAAATGAATATGATGGCTACAGATTGAAAATCGACTTTATCGTTGTTGCGATCGTCTTTCGGTTGGGCCCAGAATTGAGCTTTGACTTGAATAAAACAGATTAGAGTCGCCACCGATAATTTATTTTAAAACAAATGGGTTGATCAGATACCTTATTTGTTACCTGATCTGAGTCTTACGAAAGATGTGTCGGATTTGAGAGTCGGTTACAGTCAAGGAAGGGTTAGCACCCTTGAATTGCCCTTTCGGTACTACGTAATTTCCAATTGTCTTTAATTAATAAAATTGAAAGTTTAATTAAAAAGGTAAAAAATGATCCGAATTACTTACCTCTGATAGATTTTAACAAAGACCCTTAAAAAGATAGTGATGTTAGAGTTATAGTGAAGTACAAAGTCGAATTAAGATAAAAAGTATGTAAATAGGAAAATAATAAACAAAATAGAAAAGAAAGAAAAATAATAATAAAGTAAGTAGAAATAAAACAAAATAAATAAAATGGTAACATGAGTGATAACATAACTAAAAAAGAATAAAAATAGAAATAAAAATAAAACAAGAATAAAAACAAAGAAAAAATAGAATAAAAGAAAAATAATAAAAAAAGAATAAAATTAATATATATATATAATAATAAGATATGGTATTTAATAAAATAAGTAATAAACAATAATAAGAAAAAAATAAAGATATATATACATATAAATATTATGTAAAAACAAATAAATATATATATAAATAAACATTAGAAAAACAAAATAATATATATAAGTAGAATAAAAAGAAAATAATAATAGGAATAATAATAATAATAGTAAAAAGAAATAATAAAATATATATAATAAGAAATAAAATAAAAATAAAATAAACAAATAAAAAATAAAAGGATTAAATTTAAAGGGAAACAAAATTAGGGGGTGAATTTAAAAAGAAATTAACGTGAAAATTGAATTTTAGGGCATTAAAATGAGCTTTTAAGACAAGGGGGACTGAAGTGGGGATTTCCCCACTTTTAGAATTCAGGTCGATCCAATGGGCTCCACGGGTTGACTATATAAGTCAAAAAAATTTAAAAAATTTCATTTGCTCTATTCTCAAACTGAAAACTCCCCCCAAAATTCATTTTCTCTCAAATGTTCATCCATTTGATGAACATGCGCAGTGGTTTCTCTCAAATTTTGGCCACCCCGCCGCCTTGTCGGCCGCCGTTTATTGGCCACGAAAATAAATAAAAAATTTCATTTTTAAATGATCTTTGTACCCTCGTTCCGAAAATCGAGTTATTTTTCTCAAAATAGGCCTCGGGAGGGCTAGATCTAAAAATATAGATCTCGAAAACCCTCCTTATTCATCGGCCAAAAATTGTTTTTTTTTTGCTTTTTTCGAATCAAACACAAAGAACCAAGACCACATGGGAACAAAAATCGAACGGAAATAGGTAACAAAAATACTTTTATTCTTTATTTCTTGTTTCAAAGAGTATAAGTGCTTCTAGCTTTTTCTATCGATTTTTGCTTGTATTTTGTGCGTAATATTCTGTTTATATCGTGTGTCAAATAGTGTCCATTACATGCCTATTTATAATCCAAAAGAGTCCTATTTTTAGTCCCGTTTTTTAGAGTTTAACTTGGATTGGGATTCTTGTTGTTTTATGTTTGTTGGTGATGCCGAGAGGGCCGCCGAAAAAATCGGCGAGGCGTTGGAAGCGGCTGCACGATATTGTGGAGAGAAGACGTTAAGGTTAGAAACCCTAATCTACCGGGTCACAATCTTAGGCCAGACCGATTCACGGGTTACAAGTCGGGTCGCTGATGTGGGCCATTATTGGTCTGTTACACGCGGGTTGAACCATTGTTGGTCTTGGGTTCTCTGCTGGGTAGCTGCTTTTGGGCCTGTAAAAATAAACTAAGTGTATTGGTTTATAATATTCATATAATATATAATATATACTATATAAATATGGACTGAAAAGTGGGTCTACAGCTGCCCCTCTTTGCCCATAGTTATGTAACGGGGATAGGGCAAATATTAAAAGACACACTTTTCGTTTAACATGAATGTATCAAAATTTAACACCACCCATATAGGGGTCAATCCCCATCGAATATCCTCTGTTGTAGAGTTAAAATCCGATGTTAAGAATGGTTTGTCAATTTGAATTGAATTACGAAATGACTTCCTCGTCGTGAGGTCGAGTTAAACTGGCAAATTCTGAATACGATATCATTCGTCGTGAAGTTAAAATCGAACCCAAAGCTTTGGCAAGTAGCTCCTGGATCGTCTTCTAGCCCAAGATACTTCGTCGCAAAGCTGGAACTTGACTTGAAGACTCTGGTGTTGCTGTGTTATAGATGACTCCTTCATCATGAAGTTGGGTCAATCTTTCGGGTACGATATCCTTCGTTGTGAAGTTAAAATCATAGGATGACTCATTTGCTATGAAGTTGAGCTTTGACTTGGATATCCTTCGTTGTGAAGTTGAAATCTAATGTTGTGTAAGTTGCATTGTTTCGAGTTTAATATCCTTCGTTGTGAAGTTGAAATTGATTTTGAATGAAACTGAAAAACTCATTCGCTGTGAAGTTGAGCTTTGAATTGGATATCCGTCGTTGTGAAGTTGAAATCCAAGGGTTGTTTCACCAAATTGGTTTTGAGTTGGATATCCTTCGTCGTGAAGTTGAAATCCAATCTCAAGTAAATTGTATCACTTCGAGTCTAATATTCTTCGCTGCGAAGTTAAAATTGACTCTAGCTAAAACCTGCAAAGTTATGCATATATGCAATGCTATGCAATGCTCTTAGGTTTGCCGAAAATGCATATGAAGAATATGTTGGTTTCGGGCTCTAGAGAGAAATCTCGATCTGCTGTTGCCTGTCTTGGTAACTCTTGATTCTGGAATCTTGAAGTTTTGATTCCCGATCTTGAACTCTTCAAATGTTTAAATCTGATGTGCATATTTTATTTTTTGGTCCCTGATTTGGGAAATGCTTCTCGACCATCTCAAGTATAGTACATGAGCATCGATCGGCTTTCGAGTACCTGTATTTTTCCAAAAAAATCTTTGTACAATAATATGCAATTATCTTTTTCAAAAATGAATAAACCATTAGGTTTAAATTCAACCCAAGATGCTCAAAAGGACCGATTTAGAGAAATGTTTGTTTTATTCATATAGGAAAAAAGAACAAATAATACATGAAAAACATTCTGGAAAATGAATACATAAATGAAGTGTGAATGGATGTCTTATATCTCAATAACGCGGACGCTTCTGAGCTGATAAGCTATTAGGTGACCTTGAACGCAGCCTTTGCCTAGGGATCTTCAAAAATATGATAACATTCGGTAGAGTGCAACATTTCTCCGACTCGTTAAGTCTGTAGAATATTCAGATGCCGATATGTTTCCACTTTCTGGATTTCTTGAATTAATATCCAAATCGCCCTTTCAAGTTTTCAACTTGGACCCATCATTGGTTACAAGACGCCCTTTGTGGGTTTTCATCTTGAACCCACCTTATTTCTTTTATTTTTTCTTTTTCTTTTTCTTTTTCTCTTTTTTCAATTTAGGGCGCCCTTTCGGATTTTCACCCTAAACATTTTTTCTTTTTCTTTTTCGACTTAGGACACCCTCTCGGGTTTTCATCATAAGCGAAGTATTTCTTGATTGATTCCGAATTGACAGGATTTGGAAGTTCATGTCCGTCCATTTCAGCCAGGATAAGTGCTCCTCCGAAAAAGGCCTTTTTTATGACATAAGG